AGCGTAAAAATAACCGGAGAAGTTAGAAAATAGTTCCAATTGTTTAAATAAAAATAATTAAGAATCAGAATATATAATACTGCGGTAAGTAAAGCTTTAATATTTATTTTAATTTAAATAATTTTTTTTTTTTTTTTTTATTTGCATTCACTCCCAACAAGGCTGCAAGGAACCACTATTAATATGGGAGTTACTAGAAAAAAAAGAACAGAGTTATAGAGCAAGGAAACGGTTGACAGACGACTTGAAAAGTTAAAGGTTGTATGAGTCAGGAAAACATGAAGATGGGAGAGAGTTCCAAAGGATTGAAGTGCGGGGAAAAAAACTAGATTAATAAAAGTTTTTAGAGCATGCAGGGACAAATACAGTAAACGAATGAGACTTAGCTGAATGACGAGTAAAACGAGAATGAACTATAGTTGATGGAACAAGAGATGATAACTCCTTTGAGCAGTGACCATGATAGTATCTGTAGAAAAGAGAAAGAGATGCAACTTTACGACGATGGGAAAGAGGTTCAAGCTTAGCAGATAGTCCAGGTCCAACAACATTTACAATGCGTTTTTGGACCTTGTCAAGAAGAGAAAGTGAATCGTTAGAAGAACCAGCCCAAATATGACAACAGTATTCCATACAGGGACGAATAAGAGATTTGTAGAGGTAGAGAATGGAATCAGAAGTAAGGAAATAGCGAGCACGTTAAAGAGAAGCAACCTTAGCAGAAGCTAATTTAGCAATCGATTGTATATTGTATATATGGTTTCCATGAAAGGTCAGTAGTAGGCAATAATCCAAGAAGACGTAAAGAGGAGAACTCAGTCAGAGGATTGCCATTCATTAATATAGGAATGTTGACCATATTATGGTAGTTGTCTGCAGTAAACAACTGGGTTTTGTTAGAGTTGAAGTTCACAAGCCACTGTGAACCCCAATCTATTACTGAAGTGAGATCAGATTCAAGATCAGCCGCTTGTTCTAGGCGATCGAAAAGAGAAGACTTTTTGTCAAGACAGGAGTATAAAGTTGAGTCATCAGTAAAAAGAGCTACTTTAGATGAAAGGTTGTCAGGAAGATCGTTTATGTAGATAAGAAACAAAACAGAGCCCATGATGGAACTTTGGGGAACCCCAGAAGTTACTGGAAATAAAGAAGAGTGTTGGCCTTCAAGGATGACTTTAATAAACCGGTAAGAAAGAAATGATTTGATAATCTCAAAAACTTTGCCAGAAACACCATATGAAGCAAGCTTATGGAGAAGACCAGCATGCCAAACCTTGTCGAAAGCTTTAGATATGTCGAGAGCAATAGCCCTAGCCTCACCGCCTCCATCTAATGCACGATAAAATCTTTCCGTTACAGCAGTTAGCAAGCAGGCCGTAGAGCGAGAGGATCGAAAACCGTATTGATTGTCTGACAGCAGTTTATTTGACTCAAGATGAGATGTGAGGAATTTGTTGATCAAAGACTCAAAGACCTTGCTAATAACAGAAAGAAGACTGATCGGACGATAATTGGAGGGGTCAGAATTTTCTCCAGAGTTTTTGAATATTGGAACCACAGATGCCATTTTCCAACAAGCAGGAAAACAAGACTCAGTCAAACACTTGTTAAATAGTTTAGAGAGAATTGAAGAAAGTTCTGGAGAACAATTCTGCAAGACTGTGACAGGAATGTTGTCTGGACCACAAGCTGTAGACGAGTTTAATTGAGATATGACTTTAGCAACAGAAGCCGGAGTGACTTGAATGTCTAACAATGAGTCAACCTGTTTGACTGGAATGGAAGGAAGAGAATGTCCATAAGATTCAAGAGTGGAATTAGAAGAAAAGTTCTTTGTAAATAGTTCTGCCTTATCCTTGGGAGAGGTAATAAGATCAGTCCCATGAATGAGAGATGGAATGTTAGATCTACCCTTGTTAATAATGCTGTTGAAGATTTTCCAAAAGTCTTTAGAGCCTAACTTCTGCAATAAGATGCGAGATTTAGTGACCTGAGAATAATGGAGTTTAGCATCAGAAAGCACCTTTTTCTATCGATTTCTTGCAATAATAAATAGCCGTTTGTTTTCAAGAGAGTTGTTCTTTTGAAAAAGATGAAAAAAATGATTACGATTGGATATAGCAGCCGCACAAGAAGGAGAAAACCACGGAGTAGAATGAGGCTTGACTTGAAACCGACGAGAATGAATAAAAGCTTCCATTCAATAATAAGGAATAAAAGCTTCCATTCCAGCCTGAATCCAGGAGGTTACGTAGGAGGCGCATTTGTCAGCTGAGAGAAAAAATACATCAGCCCAAGGACCATCACGAAGAAAATCACGAAAGGAATCCCAGCCAGCTTTAGGGTAGTAGTAGGTGATGCGATAATAAGGTGAGCCCAAAAAAGAAGTACGAGAAGAAAGATTTATAGAGATCATTGCATGGTCAGAACCACCTAAAGGAGAAAAAGGAGAAACTGAACATAAGCTAGGGTCTGAGACAAGACATAAGTCAAGGAGTGAAGGTAAATGATTAGGGTTGTCAGGAAAACGAGTCACAAAGTTAACTATCTGAGTAAGAGATTGAGAAACGCAGAAGGTAAAGGCTTTAGTGCCAGCAGGATCAGTGGTGTTAGAGCCAAGCCATTCAGTGTGATGGGCATTAAAATCACCAAAAACAACAATATTGGCAGAGGGGTAATGAGAGAGGGTATGGTCAATTTGATCAGAGATAACATCTAAAAGAGTGCAATCGTGGGAAGAAGGAGAACGATAAAGAACAAAGAGAAAGGTGATAGACTGAAGAGGTGCTAGGCGAAAGCACATAAAAGAATGGTCAAAGGATTCGAACCTGATTTTACGACAAATAGGGGAATTAATGCGTATGTATACCCCTAAACCTAGCATGTGACTATTGGAGTCTTTACGAATCAAAGGATAGTACCCATCAACACTAACATCTGAAGAAGGAATTGCAGAATTTAAATTTGTTTCACTGAGTGCAAGCAAGTCTGGTGAATTTTGCAGGAGGTAAGACTCAACTGATGGAAAGTTGCTTCGTAGACCGCGAATATTTGTAAAAGATATATTAAAATAATTAAGTGGTGGGGATGGTTTTTTAGGTTTTAAATTTTTGGTTACTTCGGTCATGATTTGGGTTTAATGAGAACTTGACTCATTCATAGATAGAGCACAGCCTCCTAATCAATGAGCTATGCAGTTGTCTCAGTCCTGTTAATTAACCCTAAGCCGTGACATAGGGCTCCTTATGTGGCCTTGACAATGCACACCAAAAGCATTAATAGGGACACCATCCATGCGCAACATGGCACTGTTAATACTCTGATATTTTGCAGCTGTTGATGGAATCAGCCTCTCTGAGAGCTACCACAGAGTTCGGGAAACCTTACTACAAGCCGGCCTCAGAACCATTAAACTGAGTTTTAGAGCTGTACCCTCATATGGAGATAACAGGAAGAGTTGCATAGCCATTATCAAGGAGGCATAAGCAAAATTCTATGAGTAGAGTCAAGGAGATCCAGCATTCATCATCCTAGGCAGGAAACAATGTAACACAGGTTACATATACGCCAGCCTAATAGATGAAGAAGGGGTTCGAGGGTGGTTAGCAGAACTTTTCTGCTTACCCCTAAAGTCTTTGCCTAGGAGGCCTTCTACAAGACAGTAGCCGGATGCAGTTAACATCTGCCCAAGATGAGTATTTTTATCGAGACACCATCTCTAGCCTTTACTCAACCAAGAGCCCCAAGGCAGGGGATGTTTAGCTGGATGCAGTTAACATCTGCCCAAGATGAGTGTTTTTATCGAGACACCATCTCTAGCTTTTACTCAACCAAGAGCCCCAAGGCAGGGGAAATTTTAGACGGAGTTTCTTTCTCCTAGCCTTTGCATAAGAAAAGCACACTCTGCAAGGCAGCAGGGCTTGTAGCAGGTGGTACTGGGTTACGTGATACCAGTAGCAAGATTGAACTCGATTATCCTGACCTGACCTGGAGTAGTTAAAAGGAGTTACTTTCCGCAACAGTACTTTGAGAAAACCAGGCATGACATTTTGGAAATGTATTAGGAAAAACACTGCATCTAACAAAATACAGGAGTCTAAGGTGAGTGTACGTTTTGTAGTTGGAGTAAGTAGTTAGTTACTGAGCTCACGCTGCATTAGAGTATAAACAGAACACAAACAAACATAAATCAACTTACGGGTTAGTCAACACCGCGCCAGAGGTTCAGACAGAACACAAACATACATAAAAAACATAAAGTAACTTACGGGTGAGCGAACACCGCGCCAGAGGTTCAGACAGAACACAAACATACATAAAAAAACATCAAAAACATAAAGTAACTTACGGGTGAGCGAACACCGCGCCAGAGGTTCAGACAGAACACAAACATACATAAAAAAACATAAAAAACATAAACATAAACATATACATAAAGTAACTTACGGGTGAGCGAACACCGCGCCAGAGGTTCAGACAGAACACAAACATACATATAACGTAGATTACAGGTGAGCTAATACAGTAACTAAGGCACCTCCAACTATATGAAAAAAAAAAAAATTACTATAGGCATGACTGATATAAGATAGTACTTATGACAGGAAGAACACTCCTTCCAGCCTTTGCTTAGATAGCAAATCCTGCAAAGCAGCAGAACATGGATTAATTAAAAATTAAAGAAATATAAGTAAGATATATAAATCTAAAAATTATTAAGATATCTGTAAAAAATAAGTTGCTCCCATAAAATAAAAATAATTTATTGTTTTTACTTTTTACAAAATTTTTTTTGCGATGTTTGGAAAAATAATACAAATAAATTTGTTTTGCTGTATGTTAAAAAATTACTACAGTAGAAAAACGGAGCTTAGTTTAATTACACTTTTCTTTTGTTAAAAGACTACCGTGACGTCAAATACTAAAACTTTTATGAATTAAACGCGCTTCAAAGGAATTGCCAAAGTCTGTAGATTGCGACGCATAATTTGAAGACTCCCAGTATTTGAAAAAAATGGAGATGACGAGCTTCGGCAAAAAAAATAACATTTGTTTTTCACGGTATGCATTCTTTATTTATTTTTAATCAAAAAAATTTGGTTCAAACCTTTTTTTTTAACATTATCTTTAATATGAACACAACACGTGTTGGGAGTTTGGGATCCCTTTAACTTAAATAATTATTTTACGGGAGTTTGTTAGGTTTTAAATTATTCCATAGATTTAAAAATATTTATTAACTGTTAGACGTATTTAAAGTATTTAAGAGTAATTTCGAGGAAACACTTTTTGGTAAGCGCAAATAAAAAAAATAAAAGGAATATTATTAAAACGTATTCTACTTGATTCAATAAAAAAAAGTACAGCTATTAAAATTTTTGTAAAAAGTAACTCGAAAAAAATTACTTAAATAATAACAATCGCTTTTTTGTTAAAAGTTACCGAAACTCAACGAAGCGTGCTCAAGATCAGCTGCTGAAAAATAGAACGTCAATAGTTTTTCGAATAATTTTTAAGAATAATTTTTAAAAATAATTTTTTCGCTGAAATATGTCTTTTATACCTATAAAATTTTTATTCTAACATTTTATTTTACTTTATTTATTAAAAAATTAAAATTCCTTGTAAATATTAAAAATCTATTCAAAAAGTTCGTTAAAGTTTTTTAGTAATACTTTTAGTAATACTTTTAGTTATATTTTTAGTAAGAGTGATTGTGCTTATCAACCGCTTTATGAAAATAAATAATAAAAAAAAAAAATTATATAAAATTGCGAGTAAAAATATTAGCTATTGCACAGTTTTTAATTGTACTATATTAAAATTTCCAGTTTATTACTCGCTGGCTTTTTAAAAAGAAAAAATAATTATTTGAAAAACTTTAAATTATATATTTGAGAAAAAAAAAAAAAATCGAATATTAGGATATTTTATAATCTTTTTTTATAATGTTTTTTATTCGTTTAGTATAGACAAAACGTGTCAAACGTCGAGAAAATAAACAAATGTTTTTACGTTTAAAAAAATGAAACATTCCAAAACATTTTTAAATAATAACATTTTTACATTAACAATTTAAAGTAGTTTTACGGTAATTAAGTAAATCGGTGCAGTTAATGTCGATAACTATGAAAAGCAAATAAAAAGAATTTAATGACGTCAAAAACACGTCGTGCTTTTTTTTTTTTTTTTTTTTTTTTATTTTAATTCATCTCCTCAAGGCCGAGAAGGCCACTACAGACCAGGAGGCTACTTATTCGTGGCTATAACCCTCTCTCAACTCTATAACTCCGAAACACGAACCTTGACGAACAAGGCCGCTGCGCGGAGAAACGAGTTGAGCGCGGTACTACCAAGGACGTGGTGGCGATCGAACTCGGAACCACTCGTTTATGAAGCGAGCGCTCTACCACTACACCACTACCGCAGTGCTTATGCGTCGCGCAGTTTTTATTCATCACAAGGCCTGTATATATATATATATATATATATATATATATATATATATATATATATATATATATATATATATATATATATATATCTTATACTGCTGAGTTAGGTGAGCATAATGATGTCATACTTACCTAATGTCATATAGCCTGCTGCCGGGGGCTTCAGTACATACATCGACTGACAAATAGCCTGACTCGACGTGGAGTGCTGCTACATCGACTAAGGGTTTGGTATGGGTCAGCAACATTTTCATTCATTATTCTTCGTTTTCCCTCATCGCTTTCTAAAAATAAGATGAGGGAAAACGAAGATTATGAACATATTTAGCAATGTAATCCTTTTAGGATAGACTTTAAAATCAAATTTACAATGTTTTAGTAAATTTTTATGTAAAATAACTTTGTATACATAATATATCTATATAGTTATTTACATAATAGCTAACCCATCAGTACTTGCAAAGTCTCCTTTTCTGTAAGCCCAAAAATTGAGTTCTAAAATACCATTATCCACATAACTACTTTATCAAAGTATAATCTAATGGATTGATCAAGTAATACTTAATTTTTACCTTAAATTGCGTGTTAGTACATATATACGATTTTGATATATAAATTTTAATTATTATGTTTGTTGATTAGTTTTTAAACTGTAAGAATTACAATTTTATTTTTACATGTTTATTTATATTGTAGTGAAACTGTCGGTATCTCCACATTTTTTCAATTAAATAGAAAGTTTCAATTAAACAGGATACTAAGTGTGCCTACTGCTCCTCAAGACATTGAATAATGGGAGTTATCAAACATACTCTCATACATGATGTCTACATTCAAAAGAAAAAAATATATATATATATATATATATATATATATATATATATATATATATATATATATATATATATATATATATATATATATATATGTTGTACAGATATTGTTATAAAGTTATAGAATACTATATAATATTGTATTACTATGTTTAGGAAGGGCACTGCAGTTGTCCTGCAGTTATGCAACTTGTCAACCCATAACTGAGATAACTGCAAATTTTTTTAATAAGGTTTTTATTATATAAATGTTATATATTTTACAGAGTTTTAAAGAAAAGTTCTCTGTCAATTGTTACCATAATTACTCAATGTACACTCTACTATTGTACAATCTTCTATAATCTATAAAACTATGGATTTATAAAGTTGTTAAATAAATAGAATGAAGATGTTTATTGAATTATTTTTATTATTTTTAGAAAAGAGGTTGTATGACTTCGGTATCCGCAATACGGTATCGTGCATTGATTTCCATCTTAGAATGGCTCCCTCCCGTATAGGTGGAAATAGGAAAGGTTATGTCCTTTTTTCTAATTCTTAAGACGAAGAGGCTTAATCGGTTCAAACAAAGATGACGATGATCATTATGATGACGAATACGATAATGCATATAATAATAAATAAAATGTTTTTACTTGTATCTTAGACTTATATAAATAAAAAAATATTTGTTTAATGTTTGATTTTTTTATGAGTATTTAGATGATGCGTTCAGCGTTTAACTTTTTTTTACGGTGCTTATTTAAAGCAGCTTAAATAAAAGAAAAGTTTGATTCGTTTATCAATATTTTGTATTTATTTATGCTTCTTTAAATAAGCGCCGTAAAATAAAGTTTAACGTCGCGAAGTTTTAAACGAAAGATTTAAATAAAATTTAAATAGCGTTTAAAACGAACCATTTAGATATGGTTTAAATGGAACATTCGATTGACCTACGTTCTAAATCGAAACTAAATTAAATCTAAAAATTTAGAACGAACATTACCTAAACGTTGATTAAATGTTCGAATGCCCGTCGGGGCTTTTGTCAATAAGCTTTTTGGTCATGCAGGGTAGCTAGATTTTGTGAGATTTTTGAAACCATTTAAAAACAAAACTTTCTGAAATTTTTTTGAAAAAATGTTTAGGATTCCGCGCCATTTATATTTCACTGAATACGCCTACATCAAGCGGCTGTAGCACGTGAGATGCATGAGCCGGTAGCTTAAAAATAATACTCTTTTGCTTAGTGAATTAATTTCAGCGTTACATGGTCGTCTAGAAAAAGGACTTCATTAAGTTATTAAAATGATTATAATGTGAAAAGCAAAATAAATATTAAAAAATACGAAATAAAGTTTTTTGACTTTCAACATACATATACTTTGTATCAACATTTATCAACATACATATACTTTGTATCAACATACAACAACTTTAAACCATTTTTATAAAAATAGCTATTCCAGCCAGCACAATTCAGATAAAAGTTTTGTGTTTAAAATCTTCTAAAACAAAAAGAATAACACGTCAAGAGTGATTTTCAATCCGAGAAACTAACTATTTGCCATAAACACCATTTAAAACTTTAATATTTTCACCGTTACAGAACTGTAGTATTACATTGCAATAAATTTTTATAAAAATTTGAAAAAAAACACGTGTTAAACTCGAGAAAAACTGCCCGTAATATACACGCGCACGGTTGTGTCTAGTTCATATCCCAATCGCAATAATTTTGTGGTATTAGTATTTTGCCGAATAATGAAATTCGATGCGTGTTCACTTTACTGTGTCTATTCCTAAATCAGTCGATATAAGCACACTCACTACCTTTATCTCTAAATAGTTTATTATTCGGCAAATCAATAAACTTGCTAAAATCATTGCGAGTCGGATATGATCTAGACACTACCGGTTTACACCTAGATCTTGACTAACACGTATCTGTATATATTTTAATTCCGAAAAGTAACCAAATGTGCCGATTAGAAATAGAAGAATGTAACTAAAAATTTTATTTGTGGTTGAAGATATATGAAATTTTATAAAAACTTAAATTATTTTTAGTTGAGTTGTCAAACGTAAAGCGCGCACTGTACGCGTCAAAGCTAAAAACTATTAACACCTCATAAAATTTTGGACAAAATTTAAAAATTATTATTTTAAAAACTAATAAGTTTTATTATTTAATATTTCAACTGTTAATATGTTAGTATATGTAGTTTATAAATATAATAAAATAATTATTTCAAACACCATTTTTTAGCAATATTAAGTTTTTCTGAAAGATATTTTATTCGAGTAAGGAAAATTATTTACCTTTGAATTGCAACTCAGCTCTCCAATTATTCTCGTACACTAGCCGTTTTAAATCACACCAAAAGTTTTCAATTGGTTTTGCTTCTGGAACGTTAGCTAGGTTTATATCTTTGGGTATAACTTTGATTTTTTTCAATTTTAAAAAGTAAATGACCGATTTTGCGTAAAGTGATCAAGTTAGATCAGGCCAGAAGATAAACTCATTGTCTTTTTTATAATATTCTGATACTAGAGGAAGTAAAGTTTTTTCTAGTAACTCTTTATAAGTGTACTGGTTGATTGCCTGCTTACTGTTATGAATATAAAGAGGGCTTATTCCACGGGGGCTGATGCAACAAGAAACTAAAAGCTTGTCCTCGTACTTTTTACGCAAATTGTATCTTACGTTGTCAGAACATTGAGAATTGGATCAGCGGCATAAAACCTATCATTACCAGGTATTGTGTTATTGTTTAAGGTAAGCTTTTATTATCCATAACAAAATCCAAGTTTTGTACAATTTACGATATTTAGGACCCATAGCTTTCTTCTACTGATAAACGATTGGTTTTTTTGAAAGTTCGAATGTTAGTCATTGTTTTGAATACTTAAGAAATTCGAGTTTGACTACAGTTAAAAACTTGATCTCTTTTCTTTTAGGAGCACCCTGACTTATTTTTTTTTTTTGTATGTATTTAGGTGCTCTACGGTCTTATCATAGAGCACCGCGGGTGAGCATTTAACAGGAAGTTCACGCCTCCTTCCGTACCAATGTCGCTTGTTGGGCTAGAACTGGCGTCGAACCTGGGACCTCTGGGTTCGGAGCCAGAACTCTAACCACTGCGCCACGGCTGCTCAATTTTAAAAAAATGTAGCAATCTTTGGAATATTTTCTTTAGTAATTGCCTTAGCGATTCGGCCACTTTCAACTTTTCTTTTTAAAAATCCATTCTCCAATTTTATCGTAAGCAGTCGATCTGAAACCCCATTCCATAAACTGCTTAGCAACAAATGCTTTACCTTTTTCTCAATTTTTTTGGAAAAAAACTTCCTTCATTTTTTTGAGGTCCTTTACTTTGACCATTTTATTTTCAATATTTAAATAATATTTTTAACTTAAATAAATTTGAATAGATTATAAAATCCTCTTTCAAATAAATATAAAGGTTTTTTGCTTGCATAAAATAAATTACATAATAAATGCAATTAAAATTTATCCGAAATTTTATTTATAGGTTGTTAATTCAACATAACATGTTTATTTACAATGTTTTCAAAATCAGTAGAGCTTTTGCCGTTTTTTGATCAATTGTGAATTTATTTTGGCATTTTCGTAATTTGGGAACTTAACCAAAGTGTTAGATTATGGAAACTTATTTTTTGGAAAATCAAGTAAAAAAAAACTTTTCGTTTATCCTTTGTATAAGAAAAAGTATTTTAATTGTTTATTGAAATTAGAGAAAGTTAACGTTACAATATTTATGTTTTTATTGAAAATTTTCTAGTTTAGTATATATTTAGGTAAATAACGTTAATTAATTGAAAACTCAACTTTCGAACAAAATAACTTTAAAGAAAAATTCTAAAAAACATTCGAATTTTGTTATTTCGTTGACAACAAAAATCTTTTAAAGAAACAAATGGCGAAAACTTTAACATCTAAAAATAGTTGTCATAAACATAAATTTAGAACGTGGAAATCAAAAACGAATGTTTTAATTTTTCATTAAAAAATTCAATATCTACAAAATTACATAAAAATAAATACATAAAACATTAAACAGAAAATTTTCAACATAACTTTACAAACATTTTTCGAAGTTTTAAAACCTCTAAAAAATATTTAAAATTAAATCATTAAATAAGTAAAATATAACAAAAATTAATCTAGTTTTTATTTATATTTATTATAATTATCTATTTCATAATCAATGTAATAAACAATGTAATATACATAATTAATAGTAATTAAACAATAAACTTAAGAAAAAATTCAAACATCCACTTTGAAAAATTAAAAAATATATATAATATTAACATTATTATTATTGTTATTAATTTTATTAAATAAAAATTAAATATATTAATAATATAAAATTATAACTAATAATAACAACAAAAATAATAATAATATATCATAATAATTATTAATAATAAATTAAAAAAAAAAAATTTTATATATTATTAAAATTAACTTTTATATTTTAAAGCATGTATATTTATAGAATAATGGATTAAATATTTCATTTATAATTTATTATTGTTTCAATTTTATTTAAAATATTAAACATTTTTTTCGTGTTTCGTGTTTATTTTTTTCTGTTATAAAGTTTTTTAATTCATCGAGGTTATAAAATTTTTTTCCACGGTAGTCAATCAACAACCTCTTGAGATTCGAACAACGAATCCATTCACAAATTTCTTCAATGAAATCGATGTCGTCGTGAAGTGAAAGTCTTAATTCTTCACAAAGATTAATCCACGGAAGAAAATTTTCTTCAAAATCTTTTTTCGTTATTAAATAACTTGAGATGTCTATCCACAACTTTAAAAAACTTTTTTAGAATGTTGCAATACTACCATTATTGAAAGAAATAATTATGTAGCAAAAATAATATATATAATAAAAATATATATATATATATAATAATAATAATAATGAATAAAATATAAAATAATTAATGATTTATATTATTATTATTACTAATATTTTAAAACAAATATATTAAATTGTTTTAAACAAAAAATAAAAATAATATCAAAAATAAATAATATAAAACTAAAATGTTATTAAAATTATTTCGTATATTTTAAAACATATTTAGTTATAAAATAATATATTAAATATTTCATTTATTATTTTATAATTATTGTTTATATTTTATTTAAGATATAAAACTATTTACTGTGTTATAAAGTTTTTTAATTCATCGAGGTTTTCAAAATATTTTCGGTAGGTGATCGACCACTTGACATTCGAACAACGAATCCATTCACAAAACTCTTCAATGAAATCGATGTCGTCGTGAAGTGAAAGATGTAATCCTTCACAAAGATTAATCCACGGAAGAAAATTTTCTTCAAAATCTTTTTTTGTTATTAAATAACGTGAGATGATTATCAACAACTTTTCAATCTTATCTTTCGGTTTCCATCCTTCTAATTTAATTGGACAAGAAAAGTGGACATAGCGAATATTTGTTGAACATTGAATTATAAGATTTTTTTCTTCATCACTTAAAATATTTTTATGAACACTTAACCACGATAACTTTCTTCCAGATTTAATGTAATGATTTACGAAATAATTTTCACAAGAAGTTTCGTAAGAAGTTTTTCCATCGTCAATCGAAATCATCCACTCTCGTTCATCGACGATTAATTTTATTTCATCAGTAAATGATGATTGACTTTCATAAAAACATTCAATGAATAACTTAACGTAATAAGTTTCAAGTTGAAATCGTTTGAAAATTGAAAGTTGAAAACCGTTTTCTTCTTTACTTTGACGAGATAATTTAAGTAGACAATCTAAAGAAAAAATAAATATATATAAATAAACAAATAATAACTTAAATAATAATCGAAAGTAAAAAACATAAAATTTACAGTAAAATAATCTAGATATTTATATATTAAATTGTAATTAAATAAAAAATCATATATTATTATTAAATGCATTATATTTTACATTATAATATTATATACATTAATATTAAATTAGGATTGTATATAAAAAAAATAAAACCATAAAACTTTTAATAAAAAAATTCTTTAATAAAAATTATAAAAAAAAAATTAATTTTATTAGTTAGAAATTTTTATAACATTTCAAAAACAAAATAATTTCATTTTTATCATAAATGTAACATACTAAAAATAATATAAAACAAATTAATAACTTATATATAAATTAAAAAATACTTCATTATATTCATAAAATTATTGCAAATGAATTTAAAAATTGATTTATGTTCCACCACATAATGTAATCGCCAAGAAAACGCATGTTATTTAAACACAGATTTGGAGTGAAATGAATGTTTTTATAAATCGAATTTGTAATTTTAAATTTAGAACATCGAAAATCTCCTTCGTCAATATTTAAAAAAAAAAATCATGTAAATAAATTATAACACAAAGAGTGAGAGTTTGAATATTAGTTAATTCGAATTCGACGTTGATTGGAAACTTAAAAAAAAGCGCTTTAAGTATATATACTTTACAACTATTGATAAATTTTTTAACAAAAACATAATATTCATTCAACCGCAATAATAAACAATAATTTTATCGTTGAAGCATAACAACATAGCTATGGTTACCAGGTATCCGATTTTAACGTAGAAGAGCAAAGTGCCAAACCTATTTTTATTTTGTTCTTAAAGGTACCCCAAGAAGCCACAACGGTCTTACCACAATTAAAACCAAGATTTTCACTATGCTACCCTCTGTAAAAACATCTGGTAACACTAAACCTAGTATGCATTTATATGTTTTATAGTTGCTATAAAACATATAAATGAATTTAGAAAAAAAAAAGTAACTAACATAGATAAAAATCTGTAATCTAATCAATCAAATAAAAAATTTTGTTTGTAAAAATATTTTTAAAACAAATATTAAAAATTTAAGTTTTATCACTAAAAAAAAGATAATTTCACAATACTAACCATTTTGTAATAATATTTATAAAATGGTTTTTTTATGAACTTTAACATATATATATATATATATATATATATACATATATATATATATATATATATACATATATATATATATATATATATATATATATATATATATATATATATATATATATATATATATATATATATGTATATATTATATTTATATTCTATATGTAATATAAACTTCATATTAAGTAAATTATATTATAAAATAGCAAAAAAAAAAAAAAAAAAGTGAAAAAAAAAAGTAAACAACTTCAGCGTATTCTTTTTAATATATTAAGAAGAATAAGCTGTTGTTTACTTTTTTTTTGCGCTCGTAATTTGAAGTTGTTTACTTTTTTTTTTCATTATTAAATGTAAAGTTTATTTTGTTTAAATTTAGTTTCAAAACAAAACTTTTAAAAATAAAAACAAATAATTGAATATATAATGAAATATACTTACAAAGTTTAAGAAGTTTTGTTACCAGTGTTAATTAATAAACAATGATAACAAAATGACACTTTAAAACTCGATGATCGAACTTTAAAAAATCCTTTAACAAATTCGAACAAAACAAAGGAAACTCAAAACAACCGTATTGCTAATAGATATATTAGTAAACTGTTACTAAGGCAACCTGTAAAAAAATATTTGTGGTATTTCATTTAATTAAGTGACTGTAAATCACGTTTAAACTTTGAAAATATGTTAATCAATAATTTAGACATTTTCATCGAAGAACAAAAACTAATAATTTTAAAGATTTTCTATGAAATAAAATAATATAAAAACGATAAGAATAAAAAAAAAAAAACTTTTTTCGACATCATTATCGTCATTTTAAAGTCACTGAGAGATAAGTGAAATACACATTGAAAAGAGAATAAATACACGTGACTTTTTTACATTGATCGCAGATTAAATAAAGTTTGTTTTTATATTGTTATTTAAACAAAATTAAATTGCAATTCGCAAATGATTTGTGTGAGATTTTACAAGTAAGACGTTGTTCATTACTAGGTTAAAAAAATTATGAAAAACACAAGGAAATAAGGCTTTATAGAAAATACTTTGTATGTGTAACTGCTTAAAAATGGAATAATTTAAACTTATTGTTTCATATGTTTGCTGAAAGTAAAAATTTAAAACAACTTTGGGCGATACTTCGCTGATTGTATTTTTTTCGGATGCACTTTGCCATTTATATAATGAAACATGCTTTTTAATGATATTGGGTCAAATCATTATATTTCACTTGATTTAAAAAAAACTTTATGGTTCACCATCTCTGATTAACCTGATTTTTACATATTGTAATGTGCATTATGTAGATAGGTTAAATTTGAAATTTCACACTTTCAGGTAAAACGGTTCAGAAAATATAGCCTTAGAAATATGACATAGTCATGTTTCTAAGGCCAAGATTTACCAATGGTTAAAACAGACTACTTTAGAGCTGTATAACTTTTTTCTCACTTTCAACAAGTGTCTCATTTTTTATAGAACTATTTTCTGGATATCCTAATATTGCTAAAATATGCAAAAAATGAAACTAGATGTAGCATTTTACTATTCACCCACTAGTCTTTACATATAAGTTTTCTGATTAGCTACTACAATATGTAATAAGTAGGCAAAATATAGGCAAATTGTTGCAGTTTAAATATATCTAAAAGCAAATTGCCCATTCGCCAAAAAAGTCAAAGTTTAAGTTATTTTGAGATGCTTGTAAGTTTTTTTTAAAATTTTGTTTTGATCTTAGATTAAAAGCATATAAGTCCATTAGACCTAACTATCTGGGAATACAAACATTTTAAACTTGTCAAAGTCACACTAAAAATGCCAGCATTTTTAAATATCCCTGTTTTAGATATTTAGATGCTTAATATCAAAATTAATTTTAAATTGAAAACGTTATTTCTTTAAATTCTATTTTATTATAGGTAATCAGTGGTCTATATGTGGTATGGACCACAACTTCAGACAACTTTTTAAAAAACTAATTAGTTGAAAAAAACTTTAGACCATATTTATTAAGTTATAAATAAAGTTAAAATTAATTTAATTAAACATCATTTATGTTATAAAGGTGAGTTTCCACTCATTCGTTTTTTTACGGGAACGGGATAGGAAAGGGAAAAATAATCACGTGAGCATGCGTAGTTTTACTTCGGACAAATTAAAACTTATAATACGCATGCACACGTGATTATTTTTCCCTTCCCTTTCCCGTTCCCGTGAAAAAAAGGATGAGTGGAAACTCACCTTAACACAACAATTGTGGTTTCTGCTTTAATATTTGGCTTTGTTTGTTTTGTTAAGAAGACAAACCAACAAAATAATTTTCTTAAATTAATTTTTTTACAAATCAACATTGTTTTACTTGGTTCTTTATTTTATTTTTTAACTTGTGATTGATTGTGCTTTAAGATGCATTTTAACATTTTTTTCAATAAATTTCTTCAGTTTTCATAACGATTTGTCATTATTAGGGAAAAAAAAAACGCATCTGCCTCATATACTTTAGAAGATATTAATTTTAATTTTGCCTGCTTATTGCAGACAGTAGTAGGTAATCAGAAATTTTATCTGTAAAGACTAGTGAGTGAATTGTAAAATGCTACAGCTAATTTCATTTTGGCATATTTTAGCAATTTTAGGATTTCAACAGAATTGAGGAAGTGATAATTTTTCTCTAATTTAATACAAGTTAATAAAAATCACTTTTTAAAAAGAGAACTATCCAGAAAATAGTTCTAGAAAAAATTGAGACACTTGTTGGAAATGAGAAAAAAGTTATACAGCTCTAAAGTAGTCTGTTTTAACCATTTGTAAACCTTAGCCTTAGAAACTTGACTATGTCATGTTTCTAAGGCTATATTTTCTGAGCCGTTGTACTTGAAACTCTGAAATTTCAAATTTAACCCATCTACATAATGCAGATAACAGTATGTAAAAATCAGGAAAATCAGAGATAGTGACCCACATGACCAATATCTCTGATATAATGATTTGACCCTATAATAATAGGGTCAAATCATTATATCAGACCAAGCGTTTATTAAATTAGTCTATAAATGATAAATATATAATTTATGTCCTTAAAAATCAAAGATAGAGAAAATATAATTTTTGAATATGTCATGCTATAAATACATGTGATTAAAAATTTGTATATACAGTTTATATATAAAAACCGATATTCTCTGGCGAATAGATTCATACAAATTATATAGTTAGTAATCATTAGTTATATAAAATCCTGGGGTATGTTGTGCCATTCTCTTTGAAGTACTTTAAAACATTCTTTCTGTCCAAGTAATTCCAAATATGCTCAATTATTTGGACTCTGGGGAGGCCAGGTCATTATTTCCAGTACTCTTTCCTCTGCCATTTTATTTAAATAATTTTTTGCCACTCAGGAACAATCTTTTGGGTCATTGTCCTGCGGCAGAATAAAATTATGACCAATTAGTCTCATTCTGGATGATACAGCATGGTACCTTAGGATATCCACATAATGTCCCTGGTGAGTCGCCCCTATATTTTGATCAAATCACCTAGTCCAGATGAAGATAAACAACCTCAAACTTGTTAAGAGCCTCCTCTGTGTTTAATAGTAGGGTTTAAACACTCAGGCTGATAGGCTTCTCAAAATCTTCTTTGAACATATTGGCGTCTTTTCGTTCCAAAAATTTTGAATTTAGACTCATCTGTGTACAGAACCCAATTAAACATTTCCTGGGCCCAATTTTAGTGTTGTTTTGCATATTTAAGTTGTTTTTCTTTATTGCCACGCCATAATAATGGTGTTTGAATGGCAACACACCCTCTTAATCTTGACTTGAGTAG